CCCATTGTATGGCGTTTCTTGCCACAGTCCTTAAGTGAATCGCTGTAAGTGTGAAGTGAGTAAGACGCTGGCTCAGTGACTATAAAAGAAGATCCCAAAAGGGGATCGTGCGAACCCGGGGACACCGCGACCATCATAACTACAAACTCATGGCCAAGGGTCTTGATCATGTGACCGAAGGGATTGCAGCGATGTGAAAACAGACGTAAGTTTCTTTTTTCAGTGCTGTTGTGACTTTGGTCACTACTTGAGCCATCGTTAAGCAACGCCCAGGCCCTCCTGGAATACCACCTCTCCTATCTCCAGGTAAGGCCCAAGGTTGGGTCCCTAAGCGAGCAGGGCGCGTCTAGGGCACTGTACGGTGCTTACCTGGCTGGCGATCCCGGCTGATGGAGCTGTCCACGCGGTTACCACGGTTACGGCGCCGTCGGCTTCGGTTGCGTCTCTGCGGCTTCGACTCCTCCTCTGGTTAAAAGAAGGGAGCGTTGAGAGGGAGGGGACTCTAACCCTAACCGCAAAGGAGAGCCCCCCGCCCAGAAGGGGCGGCCTGCTTTCCTCCGAGGTCAGGGGTTGGGGGGGTCCCCCGGGAGGGATCTCTCACCAGTGCCGTTCTCGTTGACAGAGGTGCTGTCTGACTCCAGGGCCCCGTCCATGACGGTGGTGTCTTCATCGGTGCGGCGTCGGCGTGAGCGCCGGCGTCGGTTGCCGAGGGCCTGCGACTCGCTGCCGTCAGTGTCCGCGTTCTGGTCGTTCTCGGTGTTCTCCAGCAGGCTATACGGGTTGCTGTCGGGGTCTCTCAAGACTGCGGAGAGGAAGGGCGGGTTGGCAGGCGGGCTTGTCCTCCGGCTGTGGGGCAGGCAGAGGTGGATTCCTCGAGCCCCCCCGGCCCCCGTTCCGGGCCGTCTCCCTCCAACTCCCTGGGACCTCCCCCTGAGGAGACAGACCCTTTACCTGAGCTGATGGAGGAGGTGTTGTACTTGCTGCTGCTCCCGCGAGGGGCTGGAGCAGGACCCCGGCCTCGCCCCGTCCCTGGCCGCCGCCGGCCGTCCTCCAGGCGAGGGTCCCGATCGTAGTCCTCCCTCTTCTCCGACTCCGTCTCAGAGGCGTTGGAGGCATCCGAATTGGTAGCTGGGGAGTTGAGGGGGGCGAGAGAAGGAAAGGGTTGGTCCCAGGGCCGCTAGGAGCTTTGGAGGGGCTCCCGCGCGAGAGGCAAGAGGCTCACCATAGCCGGAATTGGGTCCCCGGCGCCCGCGTCCACGCCCGCCGTAGCTCCCGCCGTAAGTCCTGGTGCTGTGCAGGGAGGAGGTGCTCTCGTCCGTGGTGTAGCCCCCCCGCTCTTTGTCCCCGCGGCTGGAGAGGGGCCGGAAGCCCAGGCCGATCTGGCGCAGCTGCTCGTCGATCTGCAGCCTCTCCAGGCGCAGCTGCTCCACTTCCTGCCCGGGGAGGAGAGAGAGGAAGGGTGAGGAGGGGCTTCCCTGGCCCTACGAGGCTTAGACCAGGTGGGAGGCAGGGGAAGAGAAACGGGGGGCGGGGGGAGGTCTGCTCGCTTAGGGACCCAACCTTGGGCCGTACCTGGAGGTAGGAGAGGTGGTATTCCAGGAGGGCCTGGGCGTTGCTGATATTCTCCCGCGTCCCCACGAAGATGAAGGGCACCATGCCCTGCAGAGAGAAGGGAGGAAGGGGAGGGGGAAAGATGACGGCAAGGTCTCTTTGTCCCCAGAGTGGGGGGTCTTGGGGGTGGGGGAAGCAAAGGCAACCCTTCAGGTCCAAGTGAGACATTATCATTTGAGGGGGAGGTAGAAGAAGCCATGAGGAGGCGAAGGGAAGGCAGGGGGGCAGGAGGGAAAGGGGCTCGGGGGCAGGCGGGCATCCAAGAAGCTGCCCCTCAGCAGACATTTCACGGCCTAAGGAGGTAACGTCATCAGTGCACTTATCATGATGGCATCACCCAGCTGGGTCAAGAAACGCCCACAAGCACCCAGGAGCCTCCCAGTTCCGCCCTGAGCTATGAATATTCTGTCGGAAAAGGCCCTGTTGTGAAATGGGGGGGTAGGGGGCGGCCCCGCCAGGCGCCATGGGCTCAACGTTACCTCCTCCCGGGGGTTCTTCTTGTCGTTGTCCCCTTCCACCCGCACTCGGACCACCCCGGATTTGTCCACAATCTCCTGGATGACCTTCCCGTTCTTGCCGATTACCTTTCCTGCGGAGAGAGAGAGAGAAAAGAGCGAGCGGGGCCGATAAGAGAAGGGCGGAACGGAGAGGGGCCCCCCTCAGCAAAATGGGGAGCTCAGGGGGGGGTGTTTTGCCTCGGAGGGGGACGAGATGGCACCCCCACCACCCCCGAGGAGGCGCCTCCGTCACGTGGCCAGAAGGAATGCTCGGCGGCTGACGAGCTACTCCGCACAGCCCAGGGATACCCCAACTGTGGCCACTTGTAAGACTGGTAAAACTCCCAGAATCCCCCAGCATGGGATGGGAGGGTCCGGAAAGCCTGATTAAGGAGGCCTAAGTGGCTGGCTGGTGCTGCCAATCAAGCCAAGTACCATGTTTCCCTGAAAATAAGGCCGGTCTTTATATTAATTTTTGCTCCAGAAGATGCAGTGGGGCTCATTTTCTGATTACCGTATTCTTTGGAGTATAAGACGGACCTTTTCCCCCTTAAAAAAAAGAGGGTGATAATCTGGGTGTGTCTTATACACCGAATACAGCATTTTGGGCCTACCGAAACCCCACCCCCCTTTGCAAAAATGGACCTGCAGAGGGTTTGGGAGGCCTGCAGAGTGCAAAAACTTTTTAAAAAAATTTACCTCTTTAAAATCCTGGTGCGTCTTATACTCCGGTGCGTCTTATAGTCCAAAAAACATGGTAGGTCTTATTTTTTGGGGGGAAATAACAGTACTGAAATGTCTCCTCCCTCTGGCTGATGATCTTCCGGTTGGGTTTTATTTTGGGGGCAATGGGGGGAATATATTTGGGGAGGGGGATCCAGGGGAGAAGGGTGGTGGAGGGGCCTTGCGTTACTCACCGACCAGATTTCGGGGCACCTGGACAGAGTCCTCCGAAAATTCCAGGAAGCTCCTGGCCTGCTTGCAGGCTTCGGGGGTCTAGGGGGAAACAAGGAGACCACCGACTCACCCTTACGCCGCCAGGAGCCACAGAAGCTGGGCATCCTCCGGTTAGTGGCCTAGGGGCTGGTCAACGGAGGGAGCCTCGTCCCTCTGGGCAGCCCGGCTTCTTCCCTCTCTCCCACCAAGGAACAGCCCATCCCCTCTGCCACTCTTCCTCCTCTCTCTCTCTCTCTGGCGCTGTCGAATGGGCAAATGCTTACAGGCGGTCCTCGACTTACAACGGTTAGCTTAGTGGCCATTTGAAGTTACGACGGCACGAAAAAAATAGGGAGCTTTTCACACTTATGACCGTTGCAGCATCCCCAGGATCATGTGATCGGGATTAAGACCATTAGCAATGGACTCGTGTTTGTGACGGTCGCAGCGCCCTAGGGGGTGTCACAAGATTCTTCCCCTTTTGCGTCCTTTCGACAAGCAACAGGGGGAGCCCGATCCACTTAACAACCGGGTGATTCACTTATGAACTGCAAGGGATTAAGAAATCTGGCAAGCAAAACTCACTGTACGGCAGAAATCTGGGGCTTAAAGGTGGTCGTAAGTCGAGGACTCTCTGTATGATCATAGGTTTTTTTTTAAAAAAGAAAAGCTCTTTCAGCTCCAGACGTTGGTCCTTGGGTTTTTAACGCTGCTCACCCAACTGACCCGAAGGGGCCCCTCCTGGCATTCGTGNCAAAACCAAAAACCAAAAAAAAAACGAAACCAAAACTTTTTAAAGTCACCCAAAGAAAAAAGTTGTGAAAAGTTGTCGTGTTTTCACACCCGATGCCCCCTCCCCTCCTTTGCACCTCTCTCGGGGGAGTGGGGGGGGGGAGCACGACAAGGACCAGCTCAGGTAGCCTCGGAGGAACCCCGCCGTCTCCTCCCCCCCCGTCCCCTTTCACACGCAAAGAGGGCAGAAACAAACCAGGATTGGGGAGGGGGGTGTTTCGGACTCCCCCCACCCGGCGGCCGCAGCCAAAACGTTTAACCGGGATGCGTTTTTAAGAGCCGCGGCACAGAGAGGTTTGTTCTTTTTCCCCGTCTTTGGCAAGCTTGGAAACGCGCACGAGAGGAAATACCTGGGGGGGTTGGGGTTGGGAGGGGGGGTTGGATGTTGGTTTGTTCTGGTTTAAATGATGGTTTGTTTTGTTTTTGTTGGTTTGGTTGAACGAAGACTGGTGGTGGTGGTTTATTTCGTTTCTCTTGAAGATGGTGTTGCAAGCAGGGGGGAAGGCGGGATCGTTTCACGGAGAGGAGGAGGAGGGCCGGGCGTGTGGGCAGCACCGGCAGGGCCCTTAGGAGACCCCGTTGACCAGGGCGGCCACCTCCACCTCGGCCCCCCCGGCTGTGGCGCTGTGCTCCCCGTTCTCCGAAGGGCCGTTGGCCATCTTGCTGCCCGGCTCTGCCTGGAAGAGGGGAAGCGAGCGGGACCGTCAACCGCCTGGGACTCCCCCACCCTGCCATCACCCCCCCTCCTCCCCTCTCCAGAGCCCCCCCTTACCTTCTGCTTGGGGGGGTTGCCGCCCTCGGGGGTCTTCTCCTGGCTCTCCTTGCGGGGGGGACCCTGGCGGCTCTGAGACTCTGCTCGGGATATGTAGTCCGCGACGGTCACTACGGAGAGGAAGAGGAGAGGGCGTCGGGCGTCAGGAAGAAAAGGGCGCCTTCTGCGGGGGGCCCGGGAAATAACAGACTAGTCCTTGACTTACGACCACAATGCGAACCCCCCCCTTGCCATCGCTAAGTGAGACAATTTGAGCTCGGCCCCATTGTATGGCGTTTCTTGCCACAGTCCTTAAGTGAATCGCTGTAAGTGTGAAGTGAGTAAGACGCTGGCTCAGTGACTATAAAAGAAGATCCCAAAAGGGGATCGTGCGAACCCGGGGACACCGCGACC